AAACGTGGTGTTGTAAACAACTGGATGACCAGCAAGTCAGGTGAGGTCTGTTTAAAAATACTACTCATAGTAGTTAAGGTCATCCGAAGGTCGAAATTCTTGGCAAACTTATAAGAAACGCTCCACAGAGGCAAAACAAATGGCAGAGACAACACTACGACGTTCTAGACGCTTGAAACAAGCGATGAATCACGTCGACATTCAAATCGATCAGGCTCGTGCAATCGAGCAGACTGCTTGTGTCTATTCAAACACAATAGATCGTGATACGGACTTTGTCTTGTACGATGCGATGAAATGTGCAGATTTAAGGCGATTTCTAAAAGACAGGGGACTTTCTTCGAAGGGAAACAAGGCTGCTTTGGTGAGAGTAATACTGTATATTTGTGTTAAATATTGCATGTTATTGCCATTGTTAGCTTAGGTTTTATAAAAATGAAATGTACATTAATACATTATTTCACTTTGGTTAGCATAACAAAAATAACCGTCTAATTGTGTAATACTCGTGGCGTCATGGCCTTCACTCATCCTCCGTTCGTGGAATATACTAGCTTATGACGTCACTCAACCAGCTGTATGAACAAGTGGTACATGTATAATGTAATAACCTATATTACAATAGAACTTGTTGTTTTTCTTCTACAAACCAATGAATTTAAAAAGTAGTACTTATTTCTGCATTGTCTAATCCTGATATTAAACCCAGAGAATATGCCTTTAATTTAATTAACGTCTTTAATTAATTGCTAAATTATTTCAACACCGGAATATAAATTTTCTTAGTTATTGTTCAAATAATTAATAACATGTTTGCTTTTACTTAGCCTTCACCAACTGCAAAATACTTTTTAGATATGGTAACAACAAATTATGTCGCTTTTGCCACCAATAGCTGTGACTGATATCAAACCATAAATTGTTCTGCGGAAATGAAATGAAATACAAATCTGTTCTAGCCAATCATACGTCAAGCTGCATTGATAAAAACTCTGCATATATAAGTTATTTACTATCTGGGTTCACAGGCTAATACATTTTACAGACAATGGGAAAGTAAAATACACCGCTCAGTCTTCTAAAAGAGTAAAGTACATTACATTAAGAGAAAAAAAAACAGTGTTAATTTTACAGATAAACCTTGACATAATGCTTTGTGATATCATTTGTGTACTGTGCCATCAGGTCCTGAGAGAATTATGTGAAATATTTTATTGTCTGTATGTGTGCGAATTGCAGGAAGTACATAATAAATGTTCAAATTTCAAAGGTTTAAAGCATGTCTGAACATTAATGATTGTTTCAGCTTCTTCCTGTTTATGGTTCACATAAATTCACTTATTAATTACTCGAGAGCTGGCAGAGATTTAGAAATTGGGAGGGGTAGGGGTCCAGGTGTGTCTACATATACTGACCACTATTTAGTTCACATTATATCCTGGTAGTCCCAAGAATCTGTGAGAACTTGCTTTGAGGTTATGAAGATTGTGACTAAATTGTCAATGAAATTATGCAATTGATTCTCAAAACTTTCTTCCTGTCTATGTGCGCATCTGATTTTTAGGCATTTCATTAATTTTTCTACATACCATATTGTGTCAATTCTATTGTTGGTGATAAAAATTCAAATTGTAGCATGCTATTGTATATTGCATCCATCATTGGGCAGTGGTATTTGACTTTCTCCCAGGGGGAGCAAGGTCTCAGGATCAGTGGAAGGGAGGAAAGGGGAGGGGGTTACTTGTCTGTGATCAAGATTGCCGTGAGGGGACTGATGGGACTCTGTCTGCTCTGATGACAACCTTGATATGGTGACATATCATAATACATGTTTACCTACCATGAAATAAACGTTGCTTTCTGTTATCTGATCATGTTGGGGCCTCATGCCACTTTTTCTTAACAGATTAAATTGCTGGACTTGGGACAGTATGACTCACTGCGTACACGTGTCTATCTCGCGCTCACAGCGACAATTGTCTTTATGTACTTCACTTTGCCAGCATACAAATGTACATATCATAAATTTTAGCGTGGTTTTATTGTCGCTGATAACAAAAGCATTAAATTGTAAAACACTGTAAATATATAAACTTAACCGTAGAATGTATTGTTTTCTTTATAAATCAGTGAATTCAAACTTTAATGGATAGTCCTACATCATTAAATCTGATAAAATTAAACTTGGTGAAAATATTTCATTTCTATGTGTATAGTACGTTGTTTTTGTGTTCTCAATGACATTCACAATATATCGAGATCAACAACCCCATGTATGACCTATTGACCTGCATGTACGTACTCCATGGTAGTACACAGTAAATCAATTGTTTCTGATGGACCTGTTTTGCAATTGGACACCAGTACTGCTCAAGTAATTTGTAATCACAAGTCAAAC